ACGGTTCAGGAACTAACTTCAACGACGACGACAGACTCACCTGAGATTTCCACATGAACATATTTTTTCAGGTCACTGTCATTTGAATCAACATATGCAGAGACTCGGACTGTCGAAAGACAGTATGTGTCGCCTCTGTTTGGAAAATGATGAAACAACACAGCACATACTTTGTGCCTGCCGAATCAGGTTTTCAAAGTTTGGCAGAGCCGTAATCTTACCATCTGACCTGAAAGATCACCCACCATACAAATTAACCGGCTTCGTTAAGAAGCTGAGTTTATTCGGTCGAGTGTGAATAGGAGTGAGCCACAATAAACCCTTGTGGGTTGCGGTGGAGGGTCGAATAGACTCACTCACTTTGGACCTAACCCAACCCAACCTATCTGCAGGATTATTAAATTTCATCTGAGCCGTGATATATTCAATAATTACATTTTGAAAGAGCAAGGAATGTCTTCACAATCTTTGTTCAGTAGAAACGAATCGTGGGAAAAATTTCAGAAATTCCGATGAAAGTGATGACTTGAACCATTGGCTCAATTATAAAAAAAACTGCTTTCAACACATGGTGTCACAGGGATCGGTTTTAGGACCACTTGTTTTTGGTCTCTATATAAATCATTTATCCTAGTTTATCGAAGCTGCTCACATCACAATGTATGCTAACGACACGACTGTCATAATATTGAGAGAAAACGGATGACACAAAGGATAAAATGGATCGCACAATAAAGAAGTTCAGTTCTTGGTGTCAGCAAGATTCGTTGATACTCGATGTTACGAAGACAATTGAAAAAATTGTGTTTTTTTCGGTAGAGGGTCTCTATTTGGTTTAATGCAGAAGAGCGATGAAGGAACGTTTCAGGAACTAACTTGAACTACAAACTCATCTGGGATTTCCACGGAGATATATTGTTCCAGCAGAATTGAGCACGGTCTAGTTCACCACGAAATGAATGAACAACTACATGATGTCTGCAGAATCATTAAATACTCACTACGTCGTGGTGTATCAACATGTTTCATTGGGAAAGAGCAAGGAACGTCTTCAGATTATTTGTTCCGTAGAAATGAATCATGAGAAAGATTTTTTTAAATAGATTACCAATAAAGTTGGGCACAACATTTTAACATTTCGGCTGAAAAGTCCCGAGCATAACAAAGAAAACGCGTATTTTTTTTTTCAAAATTGGCAATATTCATCAACGTAAACTCCATCAAGAGCCACACAATCATTTCTGCGCCGCTCTAACATTTCAATACCACTTTTCTACAAAGATTTACCTTTTGCTTTAAAACAAGCCTGAGTTCCAGCAATAACCTTTTCCTCCGAGCAAAATCTTACCAGTGAGTATTTTTTTGAGGTCTGCGAACAGCCAGTAGTCGCTGGGAGCTGAATCTGGTGAATATGGTGAATGGGGGAGCAATTTGATGGAACAAAATTTGCTGGAATAAAATTTTTTTCTTTGCCACATGCGGTCGTTTCTTTAAAAATTTCGAGCTTCTAACGCTCAAATAACACTATATAATATTTACTGTTAATGGTAGTTTCCTTATCGAAATAGTTAATGAATATTAAACCACGCACATCCCAAAATACCGAAGCCATAACCTTTCCAGCCGATTGTTGTGCTATCGGGCGCTTTGGACAAGGTTCACCAGTTACCTTCCACTCAGATGACGATCGTTTTGATCCATATTTCACCCTCTGTCATATATAGATGGTAAAATTTCTGTTTATTGTGTTTAAACATGACCAAACGCCGCTCAGAAGCATCAATTCGTTGTTGTTTTTGATTGTGAGCTCATGCGGCCCCCCGTTTGAACAGATCTTTTTCATAGTCAAATACTCATACAATATAAAGCCAACACATTTTTTTGATATCTTTTCAATGTCAGCTTACTCAAGCTACTTCACATTTTGATCATTTACAACGATTTTGTGGATCTTTTTTATGTTTGGACGTCAACTGCGTTCTGCATCATCGGTGTCTCTACAACCACGTTTCAAGTCAGCAAACCAACATTTAATTGTTGCTTCTGATGGAGCGGAGTTCTTATAATACTTTTCAAGCCATTGCTTTGAGTGATCGGTATTTTTTAACACGCTTTTATCAGCTTCCCTTGTTTGTTTGTTCATAACCGACTCCATTGGACTCAATTTTGACTAACTTTGAACAGACATATTCATTTCAAACTTTGTACACTTATCAAGAATCGGTGATGATACAATAATTTCATAAGTTCAACTCATTATTCTTAGCATAATTAAATAATTTCCTAATACAGTCTTTATGTGAGAGCAAATGAGACAACCACACTGTCTGCCCGTGCGTATGTATTTTATATTAAAACAAATGAGATTGAAATAGTAAGCCAAACTAAAAAGTTAAAATGAATAATAGTTTAAAAAAAGTGAAAAAAACATGCTTCAACAGCAACACAAACTAAAAATGATTCAAAACTAATTTGAAATTGGGTTCAACATTGATAATATAACTTGGATGTAACTAATGTCTTTCAATAAGTCTAAAATACGAATAAATCTGTTTACAAAAAAATAATTTTGTGAAAAAAAGCGTGGAGTTCTAAATATCCATTGTTATAAATACTTGGTGAGGAGCTGTTTGCCAAACTGGAGCCATAATAAAAATAGTTTCCATTTATTTTTTACTTTTTAGTTTATGTTGCTATCGATGCTTTTTTTTCTAAATTTTCCTAACTATCATTCATTACTATCAAGAATCAATGTGAAATTGAAATACAAAATTGTTTTTGATCCATTGTTTTCAATATAGCAAATGTAATGTCACGTTTAGCACGATAACTAACAAATTTATGAGTAGAATATCATAAAACTTCAACAGCTTTCTATTGAAGATTAGTACTAACTGAAAAGTGGCAATGAGACTAGCGACATATATGTGTTAGGCTCGAGACTTTCGAATCCATGTAGTATTCAATTTAAAATTATACTCTCGAATGTGTCATGTTTGTTAGAAAAAAAAACCCTGTTTTGAATCTAATTCTAGCTCATATATTCATGACTCCAGTCATGGAAATCTTCTATGAATCAAAAACTATAAAAATATGCACTTTGAACGTCACCAAAATATAAGTAAAATCATTTCAGATGCTGAAATATTCAGAAATGAAGTGAACACTTAGAAAAATGTCATCAATCTCTGCAGAAAGAGTTGAGTGACAATCAGTTGTAGTATTATAGATTGAATATGCAGTATTTGCTTCAATTAAGGCACTGCAAATATTGGTATCTCAAATCAACACCTCAATCTACAATGGATTTATTCCTGATTTTCTGAAAACATCCGTTGTCCTTCCATTATATAAAGGTGGAGATTCAGATGATCCCGCGAATCTTCGCTCGATCTTGTGAAAATACTATCTCAAGTGAAAGCCAGTTTGGTTTTCAAAGCAATAAAAATACGCACAATGTCATCTGTTCCTTTCTTCATGATATTTATTCAAAGTTTAATTCTAGTAATGTAGCAGCTGCGGTCTTTTGTGATCTTTCTAAGGCGTTTGATTGTATTGATCATGAGATTTTCCTAAGAAAAATTCACCAATACGGCTGCAGAGAAATGGCGCTCAAATGGTTTGAATTTTACCTTTCAGGAAGGAATCAAATGGTAAGAATAACAGGACTGTCAGAAAAAAACGATATTTCGTGTGGTCTTCCACACGGATCAGTTTTAGGACACATCTTTTTCTCTTTTTCTTTGAGCATTTCTGGAAATTCCACTCTTTACGCTGATGACACGACGATATTGTGGAAGAACAAAAACTCAAATGATTTACAAAATACAATATATCTACTGATATGAAAAAAATCAAGGAGTGGGGTGATGTTAATGTTCTATCTTTCAATATCACTGAAACAAACATTTTATCATTCAGATGTGCTCTTGATGACCTGTCATTTGGTGATAACTTAGTGATCAAGAACAAGACTCAGTCTGAATTTCTAGGTATTCACATTGACAATAAGCTCAAATTTGTTGAACATATCAAACAACTTAAAAGTAAAATTTGTTCTGGATGTTATGCAGTGAGAGTAACTTCAATAAATTTTGGAATCAAAACTGTCAGAACGGTGTATTACGCCCTCGTTGAATACTGTTTTGTGGAGTATGCAATTCATCAGCACTTCTGTCTGTATCAGTACTGCAGAAACTGGCTATATGTATATGTGGTATATGTATAAGATTAAACCTTGAGATTCATGCAGATACAAATTCCTTGAGCAAAAGATTTCAACAAATCATTTTGGAATCGGTTTGCCTCATTTACAAAAATATGTCCCTATTTGGGGCTTCATGCAATTCTTATAGCACATGTTAATCATTTGTCCTCAGATATAAGATGCAAATTTGAGCAACAGAGTGTTCAGAATAAGAGTAAAAATTTTTCTGGCTGATAGACCCCATTATAATTTGCAAGAGTTCTAAAATGATAAATTTACGTGACAAAATGTGCTTATTTTAATAAAGGTTATATACGATTTTTGTTTATATTTTTGTTTGGATATGAATTATTGATTGTCTGGTGTAATGGGTGTGTTCATTTATGTAATATTATATACAACTATATATGTTTATATGTGTAATATATAAGTGTTGAAAATATTTTTTAACAAATCTGCACACAACCATGTTATACAAAATTTTGACGTTGAACTATTGTGTATGATCCAATTTTACTTTTTTTGTAGGTGTTTTTTTATTTCCATTTTATATTTCTATACTTAGATTCATATTTTTTTTCACAAGCTTTGTTCACAAGATGTATTCTTAATGACAATAAGGTATATCATAATTATTTCATTATTACTTATTTAGAATTCAAATAACAATTCTTGAAATTCTTGTGAATTCATTCATGTTATCATTATTATCAATCTCGTTAGCATGTTCAGCATGACATACCAAAATTGACGATCCACAATGAACGTGACAATCCCCTGCTGTTATACATACCTGATTGAACGACACCTTCATATTGAAACCGCTGGGAGACAGCCATTCGAAAAGGAATATGGTGAATGTGGCAGCTTGAATAGCGACTATTCCCACTAACATCCAGGAAGCTGTGTCGAACGGTTCCAGGAATGCAGTCGGGGAAATAATTCCGGTTCGTTTCGCTACCACAATCGCTATGCCCGTTTCCATAAACGGTACACTGAAATCCACCTGGAACCAAAACAATTTGGAGGATTGAAATGGGTAGGTTGACAAATTTCCCAAAACCAATTTTTTTGAAAATGTTTGTATATTCAGTTTCATATAATATGCGGTAAATTTTACTTCCGCCGATTGCAAGTTAGTTTCATGCGATTTCTATGGTGACCAACGAGCACTGCAAGTGCACCCATGGAGGTGGGAGACCTCATTGATGAAGCTGTAATGGGATTTGATACCAATAATTGAAATCACTCGTAGTTTTGAATAGGTGTTTATTCTCCATCGACTACATACATACTGCCCATACATGCTCGTTTTTTATCTCTTCCTAAAAACTAACGCCATCCGATATGAACTACTATACTGGGTGGTACAATAAATCAATACACTACAATAATTCTTTCCTACAAAAAACCTCTAAAAAAAAATTGAAATTTTCCATACTCTTACCGATTTACCGATTTACAGGTTTTATTTGACGTCTTAGTCTTACATTGGCCAAAGTACGCTGAGGTGAATGGAAGGTATCTAATATTGCATTGTGATTACCCCCACTGTCTAAATTTTTCCTTGTTCCTTGTCCAAGTTGCGTGGAAACGTCGTTTGAATCATTTGTCTGATTATATACTTGAGTAAGTAGAGAAGCTTCTTTGAAAGTATACTTTTTTATTTGATAGTGCTGCTTAGTTGATTAATTGGCTTGTAAATGGTCTTATTGTTTAGACTTCAAAACCATTTTCCAATGCAGCTAGACTGTGTCCGGCACCGATTATAGTTGAAGGTGTATTTCATCTGGGAGTGAGGCCTCATTTGATTTCTTGTGCTGCAAACTCACTGATCTGTAGAGCTTGGACAGTTAACGAAGTTGTTTTTCAAGAAGGGTTTTCATCATAGCATGTTTTTGTCTCAGATGGTGGTTTGAGCTCCCTTGAGATACCAATCAGAAACAGTAGGTTTGCAATAAAGTATGTGACATAGTTTTCCGTCAGTTGACCGTCTGACCAGCACATTGCGAAAGGGTATTTTTCCTCGATTTTTTTTGCGAACTGAATTGAATGCGAGCGTGAAAGAATTCGATGTGTTGGAGAAACTGTTTGAATGCTCGCTCCCCATAGCCTCCAATAACAGAAGTGTTATTACCATAACGAATCCAACAAATAGGTTTTGATGGGTGATGCTGAGCTATTTCTTCCCGAAAACTTCATTGAAGGAATTTGCAACCATTCGTTCGTATGAACAGTCATTCATTCAATTAGCACACTGTGAAAGACTGAAATATTCTCTTAGCGTAATCAATGGAGTCAGACAGCTTTACCCAAGCAATTTATTGCCTGTTTGGGTTGAGAAAAGGTTGATCAAGCTTATGCAGAATCGAAAATGTATTAAGCTATTCTGGAAACCTTCTCATACTGGAATCAGAGGCAATGAGAAAGACGATGCAGTCTTTCGCAATATTACTGTACCTATGTTTGAATAAATTACACACACATACTACTTCAATACAATAAGAAAACTACTAACAAACACTTGGAAACAAATAAAATACGAGGAATAAATCCCGACATGCACTTCCAGCACTACCAATCGACCCAAAGAAGATATCAAGTCATTCTTACTCATCTCAAAATTGGAAACACAAGACTAACCCACCAACACCTTATGGAGAAAATTATGCTGTGGAATGATATCAATAGTATGAAGCCCATAATCGTGAAGTGCCCAGTTTTTGAATATGACTTCCCAGTGATCTCAATTCTGCATTAGAAGTAATGAACTTGAACTCTCTATCAACTTTCTTGAAGTATATTCATATATTGGGTAAATATAATTATATGCGATTGTTGCTCCGCTAATAACCCCTCGTGATTGGTGCGGCTATTTTGAAATTAAAAAATCAATTGAGTGATGGAAACATGGTCGAATTGATGTGTGGTGCCTCTGAGAAAATTCGTTTGATCTGTTATCATGGTGAAGATAGAAACGACATCGAAGCTGACCAGAGTACCATTCGGCTGCAGGTTCAAAGAAATTCAATCGCCTCTCTTTTTCGGCTTCACCACCATCTTCGCAGAATTATGACTATAGTCAATCAATCGGTTAATATTTAACTGAAAATGATAATATCGTTTTTGTTGAAGGAGAAAGTTTCGTCGTGGTACCTTTAAACTTCCTGTCGAAGACGTATGGCCAATATCGGGTCATCCATCAGGATATTGCCACAAGAGGTAGCGGAGAAGATGAAAAAGGAATCAGTGGGCAGTTCTTGAACAGTTGAATGCTGACAAGAAGAATACCGTACTATCTGCAGATAATGGTAATATTACAGAAGTTCTGAACACTCAGTTGTATCAACGGTGCAACTCCAGTAAAAAAAAACAACCAACTCATCGAAAACATTTCAATTCCATCTGAAGACAATCATCAACTACAAAAGTCTTGAATCTCACCACCTAGCAATTTCAGAGAGGTATCTCTTCATCACCACAAGTTCGTTAAAAAGTGGCTGGTTACATGACAAATATCTAAAGCAGAGGAAAGGTGACAGTGCTCCCTTAGAATGACCCACTAGTTTACCTGAAGTGAATCGTTCAGTTTTTTTTGTGCAAAAACACAAGCACTATATGAGAATTCTTGAGACGCTCTAATAGCGCTGCCTGTGGTAAAGTAGTGATTCACATTACATTTGAATCGCTGACGACTAAATCCATTTGGAAAAACATTCTCAGGAAGTTTATTTCACATAAACGCAGATCTCCAAATGAAAGAGTTCTTGAATAGTGGAGTTCAAGGTATACTGAGTTGAACCTCAAAACGATGAGCAGCCACAGTCCATCACGTATTTCTGATATGTTCCGCTTTCGATGGAGTCAAATGTATCAAGTCACTTGAACACATTCTTGAATGAAAGGTGCTACCCCAAGTCACTTGAATACATTATTGAATGAAAGGTGATACCAATTAAATCACCTCAAAAATATTAGATAACTTAATGATAAATGAGTTTGTTAACAGATTTCATCATTGTTAGAAAAGGAATGGTGAACATTTTTTGGAATGAATTAGAATGAGTTATGCGTGCATTTTGATCGAAATTATGATATTAATATATAATCGCAAATCAATAAAATGAATGTAAAGCTGGTAATTACTCTAGCAGGGCTGATTCGATTTCTAGAAATGAAAAAGTATTAGATAGATAACTGAAATATCTATTGGGGAATTATCAGAAGACCATCCGTTCTTAGAATATAAGTTGGTAGCGCTCTTTCGAAAACGAATAGAGTAACGTTATAGTATTCTGACTGACTATAATATTTTGTGTGACTGAAAAGGCCTCCCCGTATTTCCAATAATGGAGATTTTTTGCTCACAATCATAATCTATGTCTCTCTCCACCCAATAGTTTTTGATAAATTTGTTGGCAGACTGAATAACTTCAATAATGATAAAAGTTGAAATAAGTGAATAACAAATATGTGTGGAATTTAGCCACTCTTCAATTATTTTCGAGTCCAAATTGAATAATTTTCTATATATCTGCCAATTAATAATGAAATAAAACGGTTTTGATTTCCTCCCAAACTGTCTGGCGATGGATAAAACATTCATCATATTCAAAACCAAAACTTGTCGACCAGTTCGTGATTATTCTTCATTTCAAGGATTGTACCAATTTTCCGAATCCACTTAATAGTTTGGAAATATCCAATCTTATCGATTCATGAAGGAGATAATATTTCCTGATAAATTATATAATAATCGATTACATTAGATACGCTAGGAATCGTACGTTAAACAGTGAAAACCCGTTGATCCTCGACTCGTACACGTTTCAACTTCTGAGAGTTGTCGTTCCTTGAAGGGGGGGGTTACTGAAAAAATAGACAGATTTATTTGAATTGATTTCGTGAGAAAATAACACTTGCGAGTTTCTCCTGAAGCAAACTCAAAACACTCCAGTGTATTGAAAAATTACTGGCACACTTTTCCGTGAAACTCGCGACCGAAATTACATCTTCTCACCAATAGTACAGAATCCCGCCGCAAAATCACTACGTTCATAGCGTAGTTAATCAAACTCAAATTTTCACATACATTTATGAATAGGAAAATACATTTATGACAGGTTGACAGTCAAAAAGGGGCCGCCAATATTTTTATTTGGGAAAATCAAGCTACTGAATAGTTCATGGAGTAAGAGCCGGGTCAACCCTCTACGAAACCCTTCATCACTTGGAAGGATGGAAAATACTCATGAAATAATTCAAATTCATTCAAGCAAATACATGAATTGAAAAATGTTTCAACACCACACAAAAACACTCAGTATTCACAATTCCATCTTTTGAAATTCCAAGTTCATAGACATCAAAATTAATACGATTACAGGATATGGAAATATAAAACAATCTCCAAATACGCAAAGTTGTACGGATGCGTATCAAGCATTTTACCTTAGTAAGGTAACTAGAGGAAAGTTGCAACCTTGCAATCTTTATAAATATTGAGGGAGGTCAAGATCAACAGAAAGTATTGAGAATTAATTCAGAATTAATTGATCACTCTTCAGAAACGTTTCCAGAGCATTTTAAGAATGCAGCACATCTCCTTTTGATCGTTCCTGCAAAGTAGCAGTATAATGTGAGTTTTTTGGTGATTCTTTGTATCTTTCATTCAGTTTTACATGAGTTTTTTTATTATTTGGATGAAATAGGGTTGGTTGAAACAGCGATAAATCCTCTCGTGATAAGCAAAGCAAGTACTGAGTTCCGACAATACAATAAAACTCTTACATTCATTCTTCAAACTGCAATTTGTTATGTTATTAATATCCTTTCGCTGATATGTGCAGTTTCGCACTGTTTGGACTGATTTGAAGAGTTTAAAATCATCAGCAAAAAGAAGACAATCTAGATTCGATCCTTGTGATACACCTGACCTAGCTGAAAATTTATCTGAAATGTTTCAGTTATGTTTTCCAATGAAAAACCGATTTTGAAGATAATTCT